CCTTTGCTATCGTTATTGTTACGCATAATGTCATATATATAGCTAGGTAAATTCAATATTTATAAAGATTACGAAAAAGGTTAAAGTATAAGCTGAGGATTTTCATGGAAAAAAAAACACAACAAAGCTTACTAACTCTTTATCTCCGTAATTATTTGTCCACGTCCTGACTGAATTGTTCATTTTTCACATTTGTACATTCTAACCTGTTGTGATTAAACTTCAATAACATTTTTGTTTGTAATCAGAAAAAGTTACTTTTGGTAAAGAATCATTGGGGAATGCATGCTCTTTTTATACATCACAAATCGAAGTTTATAAAACCAGAAATTAATTTAATTTAATAAAGTCAAATCAATGATGGTATCGTTAATTAGGAGAGAAATAGCTAAAACTGTATGGTTATATCACGTGGTCCTCATGTAAAAAGCATAAGAGGAAGCTAGAGAAAGTGGGAAGCGTGGTCGAGAGGCCAAGTGCGCATGAGCTTGGGTTGTCTTGGCTACCTAAAAGGGGGCTCGAGGTTCAACACCCGACACGGGCAGAGTTGTGTTTACTGAGCGCCTAAAGGCAGCACGGAAAACAAACTCCTAGATACCCACAAATGAGATTGGACCAAAGCGCTCTGAGCATGCTATAAGCATGAAAGTAGCGCTATATAAAAGCTATAATAAAAAAAAAAAGGCATAAAAGAACGGACAGGCTTCTTAGTGTAACAGGTAAAAGAAGGAGAGGAATGGAGAGAAACTGTCGACGGATCATGTGTGGTGCCCCAATGCTCCAACAGATTAAGGAATAGTTGAAGGGGAAGATGAATCAACAGTTCGGACATGATACGTAGTCTAAAGTCATCCCTTAGGAGGCGCGGTGGCTGAGTGGTAAATCACAACGGTTTGGGAGCCACTGTTTCTCGTTCCACTGAAACAGACCTACGGGTTAAGGGAAGTCACTTTATTCACTTCGCTCGGAAAGGTACAAAAGAGTGCTGTTAGTGAAAATGAGAAACCTACAAGATATTTTCAAATGATGCTTAAATTTTTGTAGAGAACAATTACAACAATATTATAATAAATAGTAAAGTAACTGACACTGAGTTACGTTACACTGAAACTCTCTACTAATACGAATTACATTAACATCACCAAGATACTCACAGTAGGTGAAGGGCAGAGTTAGACGAAAAGGGACATAATTTACATTTACCAGAAACGATCTTTTTGTTCGTTTTGTAATCTAAGGGAAATAACCACAACTGAACTTTGTTACCATCCAGCAAGGGGTTCTGTGGAGCGTTGCAAGCTCATTCGGGCACCACGCGTTGTCCTGCTTTCTAAGCTTTGAGAATTTGAAGCCCATGAATCTAATGCATACTATCCATCATAGTTAAAAAATTAAAAAATCGCAAGTCTAATTAGCTTTTAAAAAATAATATAGATTCGAAGCGGAACACTGAAATTATTGATGATACATCCATATAAAAAAGTTCATCCATGCTTAATATGTATCATAATGTATGTATCATCATAGGTTTTATAAAAAAAGATGCATCAATGGCCAAAAAAAAAAATAAATAAATAAATAAATATATACCAAGTGAGAAAAATTAACATTACCTTCATTAGGCGTGACGTCACGGCCTATATGTACATGTTGACTTGTAATCTTTGGACATCTAAAAGTTGGCAAATGAGACCGAATATGAACACGTCTCCTTTCTTATTTAGTTCTGTTGTGAACAACGACATGACCAGATATGCACAAGAACTACAGATTAACAATAACTGATGAAAATTGAGCTGCAATCTTATGTCTCCTCATTTTGGTCAGTACTTCCTGGGATGAAATATATGTAAAGTTGAGAACATATGCTTGTTTTGTTTTACATGTTTCGGATGTTCCTTTAGAGTTGAAGATAGTTTACTTCCTAGTCTAAACCTCCCGCAGGACGACGGGGGATGGGAGCGGGCAGGGTCGATTAATCCGAACGACAGTCCAGCGCGCAAACCGCACGACCAGGCAGCTTAGGGGTACCCACTTAAGATTTGGAAAGTATCCAAATGTAGGTATTTAAGCTGGAACAATACTATATTCTACTCGAAATGAAACTCTAACCTGAGATCTTTTAGAAACTCATTAACTTTATTAATCATGAAATTTAAACGAAGTTACAGTAACTAATATACTGTTAGGTTAACAAAATATTATTTATAAAGATAAGATAACTATTAAATCATGAAATTTAAACGAAGTTACAGTAACTAATATACTGTTAGATTAACAAAATATTATTTATAAAGATAACTATTAAATAAAATATATATATACGTCGGTACTCTCCCTTAGTTACGAGGTCGTTCTTATGAGTTTGTCAACTCAACAAGTTCAGAGTTCAGCAAGAAAAGGCTGATAAGTGCATTGTAATTTTTTATACAACATCAAATGGTGTAGGCTTTATCTTTTGTTTTCTGATCATCTCTTGATCTCTGTTGTAAAACTCTTCAAGAGTTTTATGAATTAGTGTCTGTGTATCCTAAATGATATAGGGAGTATTTATTGTTATTTGAAGAGAGATAGAGAGAGAAACTTTAATGTTAGTCTTGTAGAATGATGCAAGACAAGTGGCACTTTCGTAAGCTGGGTTAAGTACGCCAGACGACTCCAGGAAGCCAGAGTGTAAAGACGTGTTTTATTGCGGGTTAGATTTGTTTCAAATATTACTTTATTTCATTTGATCTCATGTTGATTTTGTCTGTATCGTAATAAAAAGTTCTATTTAGTTAAGTTATTCCAGCTATTTAGATTTTAAGAGTTAAGATATAATATGCCTACTGCGGTTAAGTTGTCTATTAGCAGTTTGGTGCTACAATAATAACAATAATTATCGCTTTTATATAGCGCTACTTTCATGCTTATAGCATGTTATAGCATGTTCAGAGCGCTATGGTCCAGTGGGGATGGGGGGGAGGGGGTATCTAGGAGTAGGTTTTCCGTGCTGCCTTTAGGCGGTCAGTAAACACTACTCTGCCCGAGTCGGGTGTCGAACCTCGAGCCCCGTTCATAGAAACCCAATACAAGCCAAGTTAAAGCGTACTTAGCCTCTAGACCACGCTTCCTATAAGTCAAAGATCGTCAACAACAAAGACGCCGCAGGCATTGTTAATATCAGGCATGTGCCCAGGATTAGGCAATGCGCTGATCTTCGACACCCAGACCTTGCCTATTCCGTCTCTGGTCCACATTCTTCAAGTGTCCTTCAAATTAGTGAGACAAGCCGACCAAAACCTTGCCATTGACCAGTGTCCAGAAATGAGAGATGGTCTTCACGTCATATCGACATTTTAAATTTACAACAAAATTTAGTATTTATTTTTCCTCTTTAATTGAACCCTATGCCGTACAGCAAGACGCTGCTATTTAAGTTGGGTGAAATGATTCATTTCGATAATCTGTTCATTAGCATTCAAGTTATTACCGTAAACAATTTGGCAGTTCAATTTTAGAATCATCTACACCATTTTCATCCTCAACTATTGCCTAATAGGCCACTTCAAATACTTTGATGCAACAATTTCTATCCAGTTGGTGAAGTTTACATGTTAACCCTTTAGACACGTGCGGTAGTTTAGCCTTTAAACACTAGAATTGTAATTCCATTTTGTATGCACACTCGTAAAAAAAAGCTACAGCTCAGCACTTTAAGGGTTAAGTACCCAGCACAAAGATGATACGTCAATTCGTGAAGCTTTTCGTATTTTTACAAGCAGAAATCCGTACACTCATTATTGAGAAGTGGTTTAAGTCCTGGGAGGAATCCGACAGAGCTCGTGCTGTCTGGCAGCGTAAGCGTCACCCAGATAGCGACGATCCGTGGTGGCGGTTGAGGAGGTCAGAACAAGCAATCATTGCACAGTGTAGGACGGAGCACTGTCCTATTTGGGCCTGGTTCTGTCCGAACTTACTCCTGATATCGTCACTTTGAAGAGAGAGCGTCGAAACAGTGTCGCATATCTAGTACGAGTGTACCAAGCTCTGAGAGGAACCTGTCTGGACAGTCACTCGACGTATGGACCCACTTTCTTGCCAGAACAGTATGGAGGACTAGTCCACCCTGCTCTGTTTCGAATCGGAGTTCATCTTAGTGGCTGTAGTATAGCCACCGGCCCATCTAAATGCTGTGTAAAATTTTAGATTTGTGTTACACATGATCGAAAGTAGTTAACTTTTAAAAATTTACATTTATAAACCTAATGATGTGATTATAAATAGTTAAATATGTTAGGAATAAAACGTGAGAATAATATAAACTAAGACACGACCAATTTCATAAAACAATAATTTATTATCTTCATTAAATTAAACCATTTCAAAATAAATTATTGCAATACTCTACAACAGAGTTTGGTCGTTAGCTGTACAAAGCGATGGCCCACTAATCTATATTCACCTCGGCCTCTCTATTCTTTAACCGTGACAGTGTACGACAAATTTGTTTTGGAATGCCTAGAGTCTATGACGTATGAAGAAAACATTACACACAATTCAGTTATCATATAAAAACATTTCACATGTACATTTTGAGTGAATCTGGTGTAAATATACATTTTGTTTTCTATAGTTATAATGTCTATTTTGGTGTAATGCACAAAATCTAAGACGGATTTCCTTATGCTTAATAAATATTATTTATTTTATTAAACAATTTTATGTTTCAACAAAGTTTAATACATTTCATCGGAATTATTATTTTAAAAACAATTAACGAATATATAAATAACAAAACGAGGTTTATAAAAGTAAATAAAAAAAGATAATATTACAATAATACAAAGAAAATGCTGTCATACAGCACTAACCTGTGGACCAGATCAGCACACCAACTGACACACTGACCACTGGATATACTTTTACCCGTCCCCCTTTTTTGAAAAACCCGTGTTAAAGACATAATTCACAACAAATAAATAAACAAACAAACACACACACTCACATCTTACATACCCCTGCATAGGAGAGAGCAGGAACCAATCATTCAGAGTAAAGCTGGATGGACAGGGGAATAGAATGACCAGTCCTCTGTCTTGATATTCTGCTTAGAGTCAGCTGCTGTTTGGGATGGTCATATTAGCCACACGAGTCTCAGCAGCCACACGAGTCTCAGCAACAATACGAGTCACCACAGCCACACGAGTCTCAGCAGCCACACGAAGTCAAGGAACTGAGGAGGATGACTCTTTAGATCAGCGGTTCTCAACCTTTTAAACTCGGCGACCCCTTTTTACAATCCACCACTCTGCCGCGACCCTTCACCCCCAACACACACATACAGCAATAGAAGAATAGACAATAACAATCCACATTTTCGATGGTCTTAGGCGACCTCTGGCCAATCGTCAATCGACCCCCAAGGGGGTCGCGATCCACAGGTCAAATGCCCCTGCTTTAGATCAAAATCTAGTCCGCAAGTGTAATGACACAAAAGTAAGATGCGTAAATGGTTAGGTTTAATTTGGGTATTTCCTTGGTGAAGCGACAGTTGGGAAATAGATTAGAAACGAGTAACGGACGAACGACGACGAAGTGACCGGCTTGTAGCAAATAGATACGACGTAGACTCTGCTCTTCTTCCATAATAAACTGTTGTCTTATGTAAACATTGGATTATTTCATTATTTACTATTATTTGTTCTGTTGGAGGTAGGTATGATAACATAACCAGGGCAATCTACACTTACTATATCTAATCAACCACACTCAACACAAGATGGTTGCCTGGTCGTGCGGTTTGTTACGTTCGGATTTATCGACGGTCGAGAGTTCAAACCCTGCCCGCTCCCATCCCCCGTCGTCCTGCGGGAGGTTTGGACTAGGAAGTAAACTATCTTCAACTCTGAAGGAACATCCGAAACATGTAAAACATTTTACAAACAAACATTTTAGATGTCCATTTGGAATGTATGGCTGAATGGCAAAAACAGCAAGAGGACTACAGTTCAAAACCCAACACCTACTGGTTTTGTTTCTAGAGCGCAAAAACATTCTTTCCCATACCCCCTCCCCCCACCGGTCCAAATAACAGTTTGGGGCACAGTGTACTGAGCGTGCTATAAGCATGACAGTCGCTCTATACAAAAGATATTAAAACAAGATTACACAAATAAAATTTCTTGTATCGCGCAAACTCTTATGCGGCCCTCATTGTATCCGTTCATGGACATGGAAAATTCAAGTCATGGTCTAGTTTTGATTGGTTAAAATGATATCGCAAAGATGACAAGAAGAGCATAATGCTTAATTACTACGCCCCTCTAAGTATTCAACTCCATTAGATGATATGTTTTACGTACACAAAAATTGCATTCTTGACCTTTTTCACCAAAAAGTTATTTTAGCAAGAAAATTTGATTTAATAATAGTCAGAAAAAGGAATAAAATGAATCGTTTGGCATTGTTTTTCATTTGAGAACATCCTAATATCGATAATGAGATTTCAAACTTTTGGCATAAATAAATAAAGGTAGCGTGAGACAATATGTGCAATGTCACTTGAATGAAACTGAGAAATATAATGTTGAAAATAAGAATTCAGAACATTTTGGCAAGAAAATGAAAAGTCACAAAGAGCGAATTAAAAAAAAAAAATGTTTTAATGTTGCTTTTAGCTTGAAACATACTGAACATATCGATAACAATATGTCTGACTTGTTTACATTTACGCTACTGGCCATAAGGTAAAATTAACATTTTTAATAGTCTTTTTTTGTTTTGCGGTCTAAACGTGACACGAGGTTAGACATTCCACATCCAATTGAAAGCAGCATATCCCCATCCAATTGAAAGCAGCATATCCCATAACAACTGAAAGCAGCATATCCCCATCCAATTGAAAGCAGCATATCCAATAACAACTGAAAGCAGCATATTCACATCCAATTGAAAGCAGAATATCCCATAACAACTGAAAGCAGAATATCCACATCCAATTGAAAGCAGCATATCCCATAACAACTAAAAGCGGCATATCCCCTAACAATTGAAAGCAGCATATCCCATAACAAGAGCGCTAAAAACAAACAAATACGGGGTTATTGTTGTTAAGTCCGGCCTGGCTTAGGCATGGAGACATAAACGTATGTATTTCAACAATTCAAAGACCACCAGGGAGTAATTCAGAACAGAATATATATTTTATTATGGTCAATAGGACTGTAACTGTACACAATGCCATCAAATTTTGAACTATTAAATATACAACAAACTACTAGACTGCCTTTAACTATATTTCAACTATTGGTCTCAAAACTCTGACCTCTGACAACAATTACAATCTCTCAAGGGCCGTCAGTCTACTTTAACTAATAGACCAACGAAATAATAAATAAACCTAGAATTCGTGAAAAATCTTACAACCAAAATTCTATCAAGTACAATACCATATACAAATACAATCATCACAGTTATTTAATACTGTTTCAAAGAACACCTTCTGCATGCTGAGATCTAAATGTGTATTTGTTTTAGGGAACCTCCTGTGATTGTTTTTTCAAATATTGTTTAGTGGTCTGTATTGCTTGTAGGTCGCACCACACTCACACGTCAGACGAGAGGCCAGGCAGGTGTCACAAGAAACATGTCCACAACAAACTAGTCGCCAGTTGACAGGCCTTCCATGACAAAATGTGCAGATGTTATGCCTTAGCGATTCATCTAAAAAAAAAAGGTAAAAAAATATTATCGCAGAAGCAGTAAAGGCCTTATGAAATTATCTTTTTCTAAAAATAGTATATTTCTTTGCCCCTTAAATTAAGAAGATTTTTTATTAAAGGAAATAACAAAATTCAAAGCCAGCGTATAATCAGCCTTATTTCTTACAATGCATTTAAATTATCGATTGCCCATAACTTTATACAGACAGGGCCGGTCTTAAGCCACTGCAACCTATGCGTCGCAGTGGGCCCCGCGCCTTCATAGGCCCCGCGCTAATTGTAAGTGTAAATTATTAAATAAACGATTTTAACTTAAATATAATAACAGGGTTTCCACGTCCTCCTAATTGTAAGGAAATCTCTTAAAAAGGCAAAATGTACGAAAAAGTCCTAAAAATCTCCTGAAATTATTAAAATCTTATTAAAAAAATGGACAATATTATCATTTTTGGGGTGCCAATAAATAAAAACAGCATTGAGATCTTTCATTTAATAAAAAAGTATTGCGAAGACGAAAGCATTTTCTAACTAAAATAATCTTAATTTTGACATTATGCTTATCCCTACCCAGACTAGGCCCAGTGCAATCCGTTTCGCATAGGGCGCCGCCATTGCTAGGGCCAGCCCTGCATACAGAAGCTTTATTTCTTCGAAGGTTTTAAGAATACATGAATAAATTCTTTAGAACTGATTACAACTGATTAAAGAAATGAATTTCACAAGCAAACCATATATCATATGTTGATTACAGATTCTTTAGAAAAAAGTTATTATAAGAATGAATTTATTATGTGGGGGTGGGGGGGTGGGAAAGCATTCTCATATTCACATAGTACTTTTTTTTTTCAAGGCAATGTATCCTAAATACATGAAAAAAATGGGAAGAAATGATTTCTTTTAAAAGGAAATATAATTATACTTCGTAGCATGTTTTAATAATTTAACTGTGAAGTTCTACCACCCTTAATATATATGCTTAATTGTGATGAGATACTTTAGCATATTTTCGGGGATTCCTACTTTTTATTTTAACTCAACAAAACATTGATATAAATCTATAAATAGAAATCCAAAAAGATTTAAATGTATAAATACTACAAGTAGAATCATGTTTTGAATCAAAATAATGAAAAGATATGAATTATATTTCTTAAGCCAAACTAGTATTTACGAACTGTTATGGAGTGTGTCTGTGTGTGTTTCTATGGTAACGAATGACGACGGTGGGAAGCGTTAGCGATTAGTTGTGAATGATGCAACATAGGCGGCATTATTGTCATTTAGTCTTAGATAAGACAGAAGACTCCAGAACGTGAGACTGAAAGGTTGTATTGTGGCAGTGAGTTAGATTTTGTTAAAAAAGTCTAGTACATTTATTTTATTTCACATCAACTTGATTTTGTCTATATTATAATAAAGTTATATTTAGCATAATAGCATTGTGCACAAGGAAGTAACTTAAGTTATTTGAAGTGTATTAGTTCGAATATACAAGCTTAAAGTGGTTTAGTTGTCTACCAGCAGTTTGGTGCTACAAGTCAACGACAGTCAAAAACAGAAACCAACTTTACTTATCCCTTTCAATGAGAACAAAATGTGAAGTAATCAGAACAACGACATACCTCCTTTACTTTTCACCAACTCATGTCAGGTACCCATTAGAGATGGGCGGACACAGAGGCGCCCTAACAATCCCGACATTAAAAAATCCCAGTGTCTTCACTACTCAGCCACCGCGCCTCCTGGTCTATACATTAGCACGAAATTATCCCTTACAGAATTCAAATTTACAGCCCCTTTAAATGTTTCATTTACTTCTATTACCACCTAGCTAAAGTACTTATGACGAAACATCTTTAAAAAGTTTTTATATTAAAAAATATTCAGGATTCAACCCCCCTCCCCGGGCTAATATAAATGCTAGAAACACTAAACCATAGAGCTTATTATTTTATGTAGCCACAGACGTAAAGCTATCTACTGTACAGAGCTTGTTTCATTGTAGCTGCGTTGTTCATGGTTACAGAATGCGATTAGGTCGACTTCCACAGAACATCCTGTATGGCGATCTAATAGAAGGCAGGAGAGCCGCTAGTCTCCCACTTTTACGGTATTCGGATGTATGCCAACGTAACATAAAGCTCTTCAAAATCGACACTTACAGTTAAGAAAGAGTGGCACTGATTAGATTCACAAGGAGAGCGAGCATAAAGGAAGGGTCCAGGATTGCAGATGCCATACACACTAGAAGCAGAAAGAAAGAAGGGTGAAAGTGCAATAGCGCCTGGTGATGACAGATGCCTAACCTGTGACCTCAGCTGTGTAACAAGGATTGACATCTTTATTCACACAAGAAGTTGCAAAGTGAAAAGATCGTCTCTTGAGACGTAAAATGCCACAGAACAGAGAGCATTATGATTTTATAAGTGTTTTTTTTTAATAGGCTGCTTGTCATGTCCTAATGTAAGAGCATATAAGGCTTCTAGCTGTACTTAAGGCTTCTAGCTGTACTTAAGGCTTCTAGCTGCACACAAGGCTTTTAGCTGCACTTAAGGCTTCTAGCTGTACTTAAGGCTTCTAGCTGTATTCAAGGCTTCTAGCTGCACTCAAGGCTTCTAGCTGCACTCAAGGCTTTCAGCTGCACTCAAGGCTTCAAGCTGCACTTAAGGCTACTAGCCGTACTTAAGGCTTATAGCTGCACTCAATGCTTCTAGTTGCACTCAATGCTTCTAGCTGCACTCAAGGCTTCTAGCTGCACTCAATGCTTCTAGCTGCACTCAAGGCTACTAGCTGTACTTAAGGCTTCTAGCTGCACTTAAGGCTACTAGCTGTACTTAAGGCTTCTAGCTGTACTCAAGGCTTCTAGCTGCACTCAAGGCTTCTAGCGGCACTTAAGGCTACTAGCTATACTTAAGGCTTCTAGCTGCACTTAAGGCTTCGAGCTGCACTCAAGGCTTCTAGCTGCACTCAAGGCTACTAGCTGTACTTACCTAAGAGATCTTGCATTGCATTGTTTGTAGCTGGTTCAAGTTTTAGAATCTTATTGTAGTCTGGATAGAAAACACAAAGATTAAAAAATATAATTTGAGTACATGGACCAAGTTTTCTATTTTATGTAATAAATGGTAACAATACAGTAATGTGACC